AGGGGGGGGGGGGTGGGCATTTGATCAACCTTTTCCGATAAAATCAACACATAAATTTAGTAATTTGTTCTAAAATGGACACAGAAGGTGTTGAGCCAAAAAAAAAACCCCAAAAAAAACCATGCCCAAAGGCCAAAAATATGCCGATTTCCATGACCACATAATTAATTATTTGTGTCCTCGGGAAAGGCACTTTACAGGAATTTTCCTCACTTCACCCAGGTGGAATGGGTACCCAGATACAGACAGTGACAGATCTTGTCAGTTTGTTAGTGTTTGAGCACTTAATCAGCTGCTTGCACTGTATGCTTCTCAGGAAACTGAGAATGTTTTGGGGTGTTCTTTGGTCTGCTGGAGTAATGATATTATAGTGTAAAGAGCATAGAGTATAGAGCTTGCTGTTGAGGGGGGCTATGTGCTATACAAATGCTATTTTTTATTATCACTTTTATTATTATTATTAAAATTTTGAGGACCACCTGATTTCACCACACTGCCTCACATTTAGTTCTAGAAAGATGTCTTCTGGAACCTGCAAACACAGGGGAAGGGGTAGGGGGAAGGACGAAAACACAGGAACAGTTTGTTTTAGTGAGAGTTTAATGGCAACTGACCTCACAGTAGAAGAAGGAGGGTAAGGGGGAGGGGGGAATAAAAGCAGTAACATTTAGTTTTAGTTTTAGTGTAAGTATTACAGCACTTGACACACAAATAGGTCATGAAGATTCTTGCAACACAAGTATATCATATAAATGCAAAGGTATGAGTGTGGTTTTGGGTTTATTTGAGGAGGATAAACTGTGCCTTTTAAAAATATTTTTCTTCCTTCCATATTTTTTTGGGGGGAGGGTGAGGGGGTGGCAAGAGGGAATGGGTGCATAAAAATGCATACCAAATAATAAGGGGGGGGGGGGGAAGCAGAGGTGTGTGAAGCGGTCATTAGACTGAGGACTACAAGTACCGCTTTGGCAAATGTGCAGCTCAATAAACGACCATCGATGAGCAACTACAGTCAAACAAGATCACCACCACCAAAGACAAAAACAATACAATCACTTATACTAACGAACAGGAAATTTTAAAGAAATCCAAACAAAAATAAAGATTTAAAAAACTCACACCATGACCAAAATGATAACAATACAAAACGAAGTGTGCTAGTAAAATGAATTAATTCTCAGATTTACGCCCTATGACACATCAGATTTATAGGTTGGGTCTGTAAAATTGATTACATGAAAAAGGAAAGACATGTTCAACTTAAAGAAAACGGCACCAATTGAAAATCTACAAATTTGATGTGTCTACACTCGTGGATTGTGAGAATTAACTCTTTTTGTCAGAACACCTCACCTATCATTACTACCACAACAAAAGTTATACCATCACCACCATCCCAAACTGTTCAACATGAGGTGCTGGGAAGTGCAACGTTGTAACTTTTTTTCTTTTTTTTTGGGGGGGGGATCCTCACCCCTCTCCCCCCCTCTCTCTCTCAATCTATATCTCCCTTATTTATATACAGTTAATTTTTTATCCCCCCCCCCTCCTTTTATTCCCATTCAGGACACTCAGGCACTTTCCTCACTTAAGCTGTAAATACAGCAAGGGGTTCCTCAGTGCAAATAGACTGACTGGAAGAGAAATAAAAATACCCTCTAAGGATTGACAGTGACAAGACAGACAAACAAGTGGCACCCTCCAACTGTCCACGATTACAAACTTAAAGAACGTACCAGTGATCAGTTTGTCAGAGTTTGAGCGCTTCTAATCAAGCACTTGCACTCTGTATGCTTCTCAGAAACTGATGAATATTTCAAAGAGTTCTTGGGTCTGCTGTGGTAACAGTATATAATATATATATATATATTGCAAAGAGCACAGAGCATGCAGTTGAAAGGTGATATGCGCAATGCAAAATGTTCTTTATTATCATGTATTATAACTATAACGCATCAACAAGAGAAGCAGAAGCAAAGGAGTCCTGAGGATGGCTTTTACAACACCACAGTTGTTACGTAAATGATTTACACAGAAACCCAGAAAGGCAAAACACCGCTTTGTTAAGAAAAAAAACCACCAAAAAACCCCCCAAAACAACAAAAACACCCACACATATACCGTGGTCTGCCCTCTACCCCAATACCTCCCAAATACGACATAATGTCACAGAGCTTTAGTTTTAGTAAGAGTTTTACAGCATTTGCAACGTTAAGGGGATCCACTGGTCAGATCAGTAAAAATTTTGAAAAAATATCAGTTTTCGGATTTTGGAGTATCTTAATAGATATCAATATCAAGGATCCATCTTTAGAAGCCTAATTCCTTATCAAACTTATAAATAGCTGGAAAACGCATTTAAGAGAGGCAGCAATGTAGGAAAATCTTCAACAAAAATTATCTCTCTTTGCAGTTTTCTCAGAATTGTTTATCTGACCAGGTTGCAACACTATATTGAGTAGATCTCAGAAAGTTACTGTCAGAATTGTTTCAAATTTGCACACAATCTTTTGTACACATTTCTCTATAACTTTACAGGAGCATTTTTGCTGTTTATGGTACACATTTGAGTTTTAGGCCTTTTTTATTTTAAAAAATCTTAAAACATTGGAGACCTGAATGTAATGCATAACAAGGACTGTAAAGCTCACAAGTTAGTACAGAAAATTAAAATTTGGCTCTGTAAGGTTGTTCTACCTACCAACAGTAATCGCCATGCCAAATATTAGGCTTCTATCTTGATGAGTGTTGATGATTGACAAAATATAAAATTGGTTTTAAAAATGCTGAATCAATCCTTTATTTTTGATGGCTCGAGATTATTATGGCTAAAATCTTGAATTTTTTGCTTGGTAACCTTTTTTTGTACTATGTCACCCCCTTTGATGCAGAAAAGCAAGCATTAGACCAAAAACTACAGCATTTGGGTGTTGACCATAGCTACACCCCCTTAATAGGCCATAAAAGTGAGGAAAATTCAAGGCGTTACAAGAGCGTAAAAAGAAGGGGGAGAGACATGGATGATAGATGTTTGATAGGAAAGAAGGCGCAAACCACACCAAGCACCTGCCAACCACCCATAAACTTGTGGTGGGTGCAGTACGGCAGTTCAACAACAAAAAAAAGACTTTAAAAAAAATAATAAAATCCATATAACTAAAACTACATATTTATCCTCCCAAGATCCACAACTACATCAGGCCACGGGCTGTAAGGACAGGCAAGCTGATGGTAAAATAAATCTAGGTGTTTTTATATCATTAAGGATGCGGACATTTGACCCTGTCTGTCACTGTCAGGGCAAATTTGGACCGAGAGTGAATCAACATTCATGCCGAAAGACCCAAAATACTTAAGAATTTTTCCCAAATCCTGGTGGCTTACACCTTCACCTTGCCCAATTTTAAGGTATTGACTATGAAAGTGAGATTACAAAGTTCATGAACACTTAGAATTCGAAAGTTTTTGCTTTTTTTTAAGCTCTGACTGGGACAACCGCTGATGATTCACCTCACACCCCGAGTAAAATGCCACATGCAACATTCCAACAGAGAGAGCCGTCGATTGTCGGGAAGTGTCTCGTCTCTTCGGTGGACACATCCAAACATAATTTTCACTGATTGCTAAGTGGACTACTTTTGATTGATCAATTTTTTTTTCAGTTGTTTCCTGGTTTTGTTACTGGTCACACTACATGAGTTAAAAGAGGGCACACATGGGTTAGCATTGGCAGGCAAAACCGGTGGCAAAGTGAGGGAATACAGTCATATTTGTTACAGTCATGTACACGGATGGACA